AAAGACAATAAAATCTAACCACGATCGCTATGCACACTGCTGGTATTCCCCTCTGCCTTTGTTGGATGTTTGGAGGGGGGAGCTGGGGAAACAGGGAGCACGGACACGGAGGCCGGCCTGCTTTAACTGCAGCCCCCGAGCCGCAAAGCTCCGAGCCTCCCCGCCGCGCCGGCTCAGCTCGCTGCAGCAAATCCGCTCGGCGCCCAGGGGAGCGCGCGCGACCGCCGCCACCGCTCCGCCGCAGCGCACGCGCACACCCGCGCGGCTCCCGCGGCCCGTCCCCGGCGCGCACGCGCAGAGCAGAAGTAAACACTTAATTCCCACCCCTTCCCCGTCCGCGCCGCTTCCCTACACAAAGCCGACTGCGCACGCGCGCCCCGTCGCCACGCGCCTGCGTGCTGCGGCGCCGCCGCCTCTCCCCTTCCCCGGGGCCCCTCGCGCACGCGCATTAAGCGCGATCCGGCCGCCCGCGCAGGCGCCGTGAGCCGCCGCGGCCTCGCCCCTCCCCCCCGCCCGCCTTTCGCGCACGCGCGCCGCGCTCTTTTCCGCCTTTCGCGCACGCGCGGTAGGCGGGCTCTTTCCTCCGCCCGCCCGTTCCCCGCGGCAGCTCCCTCTCGTCGGCCCGCCGTTCCCGCTCGAGCCGCGCGCTCCCGGCGGCGCGACGGGGAGAGGCGTTCGGCCGCGATCTCCCGCCCGGCTCCCGGCTTCCCTCGGCCCCGCGGCGGCGTTCCCGCGCCTCCCCGAGCTGCGGGCGGAGCGGTGAGGACCGGTCGGGGCCGGTTCGGCGCGCAGGCGCAGGGCCCCGTAAACAGGAAGCGGCGGCGGCGGCGGCCCGGGGCGGCGGAGACAAAGGGGAGAGGGGGGGCGGGCGGCGGGGGCTCGGCCCGGAGAGCGGGGGTCCTGGCGGCGGGCGGCAGGATGGTGCAGAAGGAGGGGCAGGCGGCCTTGGAGGAGCCCCAGGGCAGCCCCAACCCGGCCGCGGCGCCCGGAGCTCCTCTGGAACCGCCGGGCGCCGCCGCGGGAGCCGTGCCGGGGGGCGAGGAGACCGACACGGAGACGGAGACGGCGCTGGGCTCCCGCCGCTTCCTCTGCGGCGTGGTGGAAGGTGAGAGCCGCCGGGGGAAGGCGGGAGGCCGAGATCCCGGCGCCGCGGGGCGCGGGCGGTGCGGGCTGGGCGCGGGCGGAGCCGCGGGTGCCGGGAGCTGCCGGCTGGCGGGGAGCGCCGCGGGCTGGCGGCTGCCGGCGGGCCTGGCGAACGCGGCGGGCCGAGGATTCCTGACGGAGGCCGGGCGGCTCGTCTGCTGGTACGCGTGGAAGGGGGAGGAGGGAGGGAGGGAGCGCTCCGCTGCGATTTGCCCGGCTGTACGCGCGGCTCGGGTTGGGTTTCTGGGGTAGGGGATAGGTGATCGCGGAGACATCTGTTCTGCGATTAATGTCAGATGCTCCCTCCGCCCTGCGGTGTTGTGGCTTAGCGTTTTAACAGCGCTGTAGGGTGTTTCTTTTACCCAGTTTGTTATAGAGGCTCTATTCAAAGGCTTAAGTTGTTCCAGAAGCTTCAGAAGAGAAGGGCTCTTTTCCCGTTTCTCAGTAACTATGGAATTGACGTGCGTTTTTACTGACTTGGTTAAGGTGGATAGATGGTTGAAAGCCAGCGAGAAAAATGTTTTCTTCCCTACTTAATTAGCTGGCTCGGAATACCTCTAAATTCCTGTGGACTGCTGTTATTTTGGTACCTATAATGACTCTCCGGGAGGAGAACAAAAGCGTTAACAGATGAGAAGCGGAACGGGCAGTTTATCAAAGTCAATATCTGCACTGCTTGCAGAACGTCTTTTGTTCATATCTTAAATAGAGCATTTGGCTCCAGCGTGCGTCGCTGTGTGATGTGCACTAGGCCTGGTCCGTGCCTTTCCTTTGTGGCATTGCTGGGGCTCAAATATAGGCAGTGTGGAGAGAGATGGGCTGGTTATTAAATGTTTCTCTATGGAGAAATATCCTTTGGGGGCAAGTAGCAGTGGAAAGAAATAAAGATTGTAACTGCATGATTTCTCACACTCCTGAACAATATGCCTTGAGCACAACATCACGGAGTGTGTCAAACCACTGTGTGCACCGTGACCGTTTTTGGGGGGTGTTTTAATTACATTGTAGATCTCATTTGCATATATTTAGCAGCAGCTGCTATAAATATAGGCGTTCATGAGTACAAAGTAAAATGAAGCAAAAAGATGGCTCCTGCCCAGTGAAGCAGTCTAACGTTAGCTGGGAGTTATCTGTTTAGCCTTGTATGTGTGCAGAAGAATAGGAATGAGGGAGTGTAGAAACAAAGCAGCAGTTGTGTTGACTGAGGCGAGTGGGAGCAGGAGGAAATACTGGTCTCTGTAGTAACGTGAGGATTATCGGGTTAAGAGAAAAACAGATTAACTGCAGAAGCAAAGGTAAACACTTACATAGTGCAGCAGCTAACACAGCCTAGAGATACCGTATAATTAAAGCAGCGAACAGCAGAATCCAGATGTTTTGCAGGAAGAGGAGGTAAAAATTAGTGAAATAGCAGGCAAGTATACTGGGAATGCACTCAAAGAATGTGAGGAACTTACAGTCCATTGAACACACCGTTTTGAGAGTAATAAAATAAAAGCTCTGGAATGCACAGTGATGGTGCTCATCCTCCAGGACAGTCAGCCTGGCTTTTAGTGGTGGTGAGTGTGGCAGCTGGGATATGAATACTTGGCATGATCTCGTGACTTTGTACGAACCTGACACGCAGTCTTGAGGGAGTAATAGAAAACCGGGTCAATTTTAGTTAGACAGAGATCCAAGGATAGTCATCAGCTGATGACATCAGTAATATAAGAAACGTGGTGACAGATGGAAGAGTACTGTATCAGTTCTGCTTAGCATGTTCTCTTCAGTTTTCCGTTTGATCTGCTTGTCTTGTTCTTCATGTCTTTTTTTTTTTTTTTTGCAGTAGGCCCCTGCTCTGCTCCAGGCTGCTGGGTCTGAAGCAGCAGCCCTGTTGGTGAAGTAGAAATGTTCTGAACAAGTTACGAGATGTGGGTGGTATTGACTGGGTCCTGCAGTTACTTGTTCTGTTTGTGAGTTGTTGAGCTTCCTTGGGCTGGCGTTAGTCAGCATGAAGTCACTAGTGAAAATGAGGATTTTTTTCTGGGTGAAACAGTCTCAGAGGCATTTATGCGTCGCAGCTGTTCTCTCATTTGTTCCTGTGTTACACCATCCTCCATTCGTCACCTCGCAGTTCCAGTGAGAAGCAGTAGTTACTCAGCTTTTCCACGTTGTGGTGCCAGTCAGTCTTAGGTCACTCTCTGGGAGACTAATTCTGAAAACTTGAGCCTGCTTTAAACTTCTTCAGATGATCTTTGATCACTTAATGGGTGAATGAAATACTTGTGAATGTGTAGAAAATGATTCAATTGCGTTAGCTTTGACGGGCTGTAGGAGGGCATTTTCTGGCTTCTTTAAGAAGAGGTATTTACAGATTTACAGCAGTGAGTAGCTCTGAAAATGAAGATGCTGTTCACATTTTGAACCGATGTCCTGTGGGAACTTGGGAGCTTTGGATATTAGGAGCATCATTCATCAGTGAGCGGCTATGCTGTTTGAAAATACATGCTTATTTGGTTGGTGTCCCTCCAGTCCTCGGTCCTTGCACAGGCTGCCAGGCTGAAGCTTTGTTTTGAAGTGCCCGTGTCTGGTTGAGCTGTCTGCACAGAGGTCTGAGTGAATTTACTTTAAAAAGCACTCTTTATTTTTATTCAAGTATTAGGTTTTTGGAATGGGAGGAGTAGAATTAAACCCAGAATGTGTTAGAATTCATGTAGAAGTAAGTGACCTCAAAGATATGCCATTGTAAAATCTCTAGGTGTTTTTATATGATTATTCAAAGACCGTCTTGGCTTTTGGAGAGGGGGGCACTTGTCATGTGAGAGATCAGCTGAGTTAATTGTGACAGTTGGGGGTTATTAAGTCAACAAAATGCTCAAGATTTCATGCTTACATATCATTCTCCTCAGCATGTGTGCCATGTGTATGTATTTAGGTTTCTAATCTGTATCAGGAATTAAGTGTTTTAATGCTGCTAAATAGTATCAGGCGTTTTCAGTATTTGTGTTACAATTGAAGGTGTTTCCCAGGTGTCTGGAGTAATAGTCCAGTTTGGTTATGACTCTTCAGTCTGCCCTTAGCGTGATGCTGACTTGTGAAGGGCATGTGCTCAAGAATTCAGTTTGGGTTCTGAAAATTAATTGCTTTAATGGCCAAATTTATCAGGCTTTGGATCATAAAAAATTAAAGGGGCTATAATTGCATCTTAAATTTAGATCTGTTTGGTTTATTACATTTTTCTAATGCTGTCTAGCTAGGTTTTTTTTTCTTTCTGCTTTGGGAAACTTCATGATGAATGTTGTAGATTTAGTTTATTGGTAGAGGAAGAAAATGAGAGAATGATTGGTTGTGACATTTTGTTTCATGGAACAGGCATTATTTAAAATCTAACTGGATAACTTTGATCTTGTTTCCTGTAGGCTTTTATGGAAGACCTTGGGTTATGGAGCAGAGGAAAGAACTTTTTAGAAGGCAAGTCATGCTTCCTCTCTCTGCAGCACATTCCAGTGTAATGTAATCATGATCTTCCACTTAGAACAGAAATTCTTTTCAGGCTTAACCTAGAGCAACCTTTTGCATACTGTCTGTATTCTGGAGATGCATATTCACAGACCTGTCTCTCTTAAACCAAATTTGTCCCATATCAAGTGTGTACTTGATAGTATAACACAATCTTCAGTGAAGGGGTGTAGAGAAAAAACACC